TTAGATGTGGACTCTTGATCTGTTCGGGATGTAGAGGCAGTTAAGGTTGTGGCTGTGGGTGGAGAAAGGCTCTTTTTCCTTTTTCTTGGGACGTCGGGTAAGGTGGATTTGTATGTAGGGATGAAGTTTAGTAATACTGGGGCTTTTCGTTTATGGATTGGAAGGCCAAGAAGTGTTTTCAGATCTGTTCCTGGGAAGAAGGATTGGCGAAAATTTTTCGGTGGCTGATGAAGATCTGCAAAGAAACAGACGTCAGAAACAAAAAGTATTAAAGACTTAAATAAAAACAACTAAGTGTTGACTCAGGGCTCTTACTCTTGCCCTCTGTAATTGTTCGAGGAAGAGGGTAGAGGTGGACATCTTCATCTGGGCCAAATTCCCAATTTCCAGACGCAATGAGAAAATCATCTCCAGCCCCCTTGTTGGAGTCTGGGAGGTCGGCTATAATTTTGTACTGAGTGGATCTCGGCTTAAGGTAATAGACAAAACCCCTATCCTTCAGATCGAGAGGACACATGGTATAACAATATTGAAGGTCGGCTAGGGTGATTCTAAGGTTTTCTTGCCTAGCTAAGGCAATAATACCGTTAATTACCCTATAGGAATTGATAGTAAGTTGCATAGGGTTCAGCCTATAGAAATGAAGAACTTCACGAAAAAGGAGATGAAGTGGAAGCCGAAGTCCACATTCGGTGAAAGCAACTATTGGAAAAGGCATTGTGTGGTCTGTGGGCACGATGGTATCATTATCCCCAGCCAGCTTAAGATGAACGTCGGCTGGGATAGAGAATTCTTGCCTAAAGTATTCAAGTTTTGTTGGGGTATTTACCCTATGCCTCCACATACCCATTATATCGGTTTAAACTAAGAGGAATATGTTTCAGGAAATGGGCGTTTTTCAGGTTTCCCTAAAGATTAAGGGTTCTACAGACAAATCCCAAATCTATGAAGTGTGAAGATAAAAATCGAGGGCACAAATCTATAAAAATCGAGGGCACAGATCTGGGGCAGATACAAAAAAGAGAAAACAAAGACGAAGTTTCAGATTCAAGAACAAAGGTATAGTTCTCAGAAACAATAGAAATACAGAAAAAATCAAGGACAACGGCAAAGAGAATGATGAAAAAGCATAGAAATTTAAGATACAAATAAATCCGAGACCTCGAACAAGATCAGTAATGGCAACAGACAGACAAAAGCACATAAATAGAATAGAAAAATTAAAGAAGAAGATCTTACCAGGACAAATGAAGCCAAGACTGTGCTCACCGAACTCAGAAATTGATTGCAAACAGCAAAGAGGGCTTTTGCAAGAATTAAGAGCGGTTCCAGAAGAAAGAATGAGGCAATGGCAGATTCAAAGACGAATGAGCTTTTCAGAGAGAGAGGGAGCGAGAAGATGGAATGCAAAAGTGAAGAAAAGATAGAGGCAAAAGAAAAGTTTGTCAAAAATATGAAACGACGGCAAAATTAGGGCAATCATTACGCCTAGGGTAACGCACGCGTCAGACGGCGCAGACGAAATGAACAGACAGCTTCAGGCGCGTCACTAACACGCTTCAATAAAGACGAAACACGTAAGGGAAACAGTTAGAGATGCATGACAGCTCATGCGCATGGGAAAATACGATCAAAGCCTTGTTCTCCGAAGAGAACACGTCGGCTGAAAGTAGATAAACTTGGCAAAATAGTTTTTGAACCATTACTCAGGAAAGAAGCGATAAAATTTCGGAATAGGTTCCATCACCTCAGAATACCGAGGTAATAGAACCTAGGGGGTAGTTGTGGGGATATATTTTCTGTATACCAACACGTGGCATGGTGACGCCGACGTGTCAGCCGAGGTGCCACGTGCCCTGGTAGTTAAGCCGAGGTAATCTCGGAGAAGCCGAGGTCATCTCCGAAGATATCGGAATCCGAGATATGGGGCAAGAGTCCTAAGGCACAAAGGGGACTGAATTAAGATAAGGATAAAACTTTCAAGGAGTTTATCTATATCCAAGATAAGGATAAAACTCTCAAGGAGTTTATCTTTATCACTTAAAAGAGTCCAGAGTAAACAGTGAATTAGAATTCATAGAAGTCATACTTCTAGTGGGACTTGGATTGAGTATATTATAAAAGAGAGGCACCCCCATGGGTCTAAGGTATGTAATTCATACTTTGAGTATTCAATTTAGTACTTGATTATCTTTGAGAGATATACTGACTTGATCGTCGGAGTGCCCCCGGGTGGAAGAACCACCGCCGGAGCTTTTTTCTTTCTGTTTCAGGTTGCTTAAGCCATCTATTCTGCTTGTGCTCTCCAGTTGATCACTAAACGGGCAGTGTGGTCATATTTTCACCCACACAAGTAATATATCTTAAATTTGGATAAATTTTTATTTTTATTTTTATATTTGGTCATTTTCTCACTTTTTTGTTTCTTTTCACTTTAGCCTTTTATACTTTAATTTTTTTTAAAATTTAATTCTAAAATTAATTTACGTTCAAAATTAGACAAAAATATTACATTATGACATAATAAATATATTATTATATTAAGATGTAGGTTTGAATGAGTTATATATAATAAAATATTTTTATGTTATATGATTGTTAATGTGTTTTTTTTTTTGTCTAATTTTAAATATAAGTTAACTTAAAAAAAATTAAAAAAAAAACTTGAAACATAACAGACTAAAGTGAATTTTTTTTTAAGAGTTAAAGTGAGAAAATAATCAAACATAAAAAAATAAAAAAAAGGGTTAAATGTAATTTATCCCTTAAATTTTAATAAGTCGGGATAGAATAATATCAATGGAACAATCATTTACGATGAATATATGTGTGATCAGAATTATGTTATGTAATTTATTTCATGTTTATTTTTATATTTATAGTCTTATTGTTTAAATTAGAGTAAATTATAAATACATCCCTTGAGGTTTGATTAAAATATGAATCGTTTGTCTATAGTTTTGGAAATTACATTTCACTCCTTGAGATTTCTAATTTCATAATAAATCGTTATTTTTATTAATAAATCATTAAGTCTTAATAATTTTTAATGATGTTAGAAGTATGTTTCAATTAATAATTTATGTAATTTTATTATTGTATAGGAGAACAATTATGAATATAATTTTTTTAGTTAATTTCACTAAATAAATTTTTTTGATAAAGAGATTTGTAATTTTTAAAATTATATGAAGCATCATATTTTTAATAATTTAAAATAAATTTACTCTCTCTGTCCCAAAATAATAATTTCTTTTGTGAAATCTAACTTTTTTTTTATAGTATAATTATTGTACTTTAAAAAAATTAATTTTCTAAAATTATCCTTTGATAATATTTTTTTTTGAAGAATATCAATGTCATAATTGTACTTTTTATATTTTTTATAAATTTTAAAAAATGATAAAATAATTAATTTATATTATTTTTATACTTAATTTTTGAACAGAAACTAATATTCTAAAAGTAATAAAAAATTAATATTTTAAGGCAAATTAATATTTTAAGGCAAAAAGAGTATAAATTTTATTTTTTTTACTAATCACAAGACGTCCACACCAACTAATAACTTGTGAGGATTCTGAGGAGCACTGAAGGTCTAGAATGTTCGAGACAGACGATGAGGACCCCGCATATAAGGCATATCCGCTAGAATCTTTACACATGTGTTTGTTCACACGCTTTAATTACTCACGAAGTAAAATCCAATCACCAATCGACTCTCTCTTTTAGGAGCAGGTTAATTTAGTAATTTTTTAATTATTTGATTAAAATATGAATTAAAAAAAAATTAAAATTGATCTAAGATGTTTTAAAAAAATATATTTTTTGACTTATTGATTTATATGGATTGGATTTGATATGATGTATTAGAAAAGTGATGTAATTTAAATAAGATGATGTGACTTAAATAAGATAGTGACTTTTAACTTTTTGTATTATTTAATAAATGCCAAACTTAATCTTATTATGTACATGTGTTTGTTCACACGCTTTAAGTACTCACGAAGTAAAATCCAATCACCAATCGACCCTCTCTTTGGGAACAGGTTAATTTAGTAATTTTTTAATTATTTAATTAAAATGTAAGTTAAAAAAAATTAAAATTGATCTAAGATGTTTTAAAAAAATGTATTTTTTGGCTTATTGATTTATATGGATTGGATTTGATATAATGTATTATAAAAGTGATGTAATTTAAATAAGATGATGTGACTTAAATAGGATAGTGACTTTTGACTTTTTGTATTATTTAATAAATGCCAAACTTAACCTTAATATGTTAGAATAATTTTTTAATTTTCTATGAAAAAATGTGTAAAAAAAAAGAAAAAAAATTACCAAACGCGTTTGTAATTTATGTTTTCTTAAAAATAAACAAAAAATAAACAAAAACCAGTTTATAAAATTTTTATAAATATAAACTGAAAACGTAAACGTTACCAAACACACCCTAAGTTTTTAACTAATATAATAACTTTTAATTAAAAAGGAGTTCCCAAACGAGCGTTAGTTTTAATGACCGCAGACTCCCTATTCCCCAGGCCATCTCTCTCTCTCTCTCTAGAAGCCTTTCAACTCCGGCGAAGAATCAAGAGCTCAGATCCCTAATTTTGTCATTTCGATTTTTTTCTAGGGTTTGATTGTTTGTGAATTGTTGATTTTTTTTTTTTTCTTTCGAAGATGTGGCAAGGATCGTACCGGAAAGACGATGTGGAATCGGGTGCGACTCTTCTCTACCCGACGATGCTGGAGTCGCCGGAGCTCCGGTGGGCTTTCATTCGCAAAATTTACTCCATATTGACTCTCCAGTTGCTTCTCACCGTCGCAGTCGCTGCCGTGGTGATCACCGTGCGCCCAATCTCCGTCTTCTTCGCCACCACCGGGACCGGCCTGGCTCTCTATATCGTCCTCATCCTCATGCCTTTCATCGGTAATCGGAATTTATTTGATTAACAAACACGGTGGTGTTTTTGAAGTAATTTTTTATGTTTGATTTTGGTGGTTTTGTGAAATTTGCAGTGTTGTGTCCGTTAGCGTCTTATCATCAGCGACACCCGGTGAATTATTTTCTGCTTGGGCTGTTTACGATTAGTATTGCTTTTGCTGTGGGATTGACTTGTGCTTTTACCAGCGGTAAGCAAAGTTCTATCTGAATTGATGATCAAGTTGGAATTCAATGATGAAACGCTATATTGAAAATGGATATAGGAAGATGAACCAATGTGATCAACCTTGAATTTGGTACTAGTTTTGGGAAGTTGAACCGAAATGAGTGTGAAGTAGAAGGGTTGGAATCCAATTTGATATAACTTTAAATTAAGTTTACGGAATTTATCAAATAAGTAGAGAATTGATTGAGGTCATTCAAAGAGGAAAACCTAATATCAGAAATGAATAAGGGAATATTTGGTAGTCTGGTTTTGCGGAAACCATTATTCTCAATGTGTAATTCTTGGAAGACGGAAATAGTTTGTAAGCTTGAAGATTTTGGAGTGTTGACATTACTAGGATCTTGGCTCATTCTTGGTTGTGGTCTTAGGCTACAAAACAATAATTTACTTGCATAGAAATGATGTTAATGTGGTTTAGATTCATTTTAAATGTGGCGGAGATTTCATCCAAAATGAATCTGAACCCACATTAATTTTTCATTGCACTTTTTTTTAAAAAAAAATTAAATGCATGCGCCATTACTAGATACAAAAAGGTGGTTGTTAATCTCTTATGTCATGATGACACAATAGGCTACATAACAATGAAGCTTAATTGAACTCAGACTTAACTTATCGTAGGGTCTTTCATGCTTTGTTTTACCCCCATTGGCATTATTTATTGAAGTTTGTATGCAGTTAATATTATTCAGGTCCTAAGAATATCTACTACTCAGTAAGTACCCCTGCCCACAACACAAAAAAAAAAGAAGAAATGTTGGTATTTATATCATATCCCGCCAATGCAAACGAAAGTACACCCAAGCACACACATCAAAGAGAAAAAAAACAATTACACATATATTTATGTGGTTCAGCTCAAATTGCCTACATTCACGAGAAAGAGAGCTTCCACTATGAATAAAATAGAGAATACATGTTAGATTTACTCGAATCCCATGTTCAAGGGTAGTTAAGCCCTTACTCACCTGGTGCTCACGGTATTTTTTTTCACCCCTTACATCTCTATTTTTTCTTTCACTGCTCTCTCAATCTCTCATAGAAATCTTATAGTCCACATGACTATTATAATAGTCTATCTACGAGAATATTAGTTCCATACAATTAAATAACTATATCCTATAAATATTAGGTTTTCGAACTCTACTATCCGAACCCAAATATATGTATAAACCAACTTAATAACTGTATGGGACCCACCTTTATCATATGGGTGGACTAATCCTAACAATCACCCCCTCTACTCACGTAGGGTAAATGTTATATGCACCCTCTCACCTAAATGCCTTGGTTTGTGTGATACACTTCACCTTCACCTAGAAGATGTTGCACCTCCTTGAACCGAGTGCCCACATTATGCGATAGTGCCTAAGCGTGTCCTTCGTGTTCCTTTGTCTTCATGCTTGAGCCGATGATATCCACTACACCTCCTTGAGATGTCTCTATTGCCACAAACCAAAACCTTCATAGAAAATAAATTTGCGTCCTCGCTTGGTGTACACCTTCTTGTCACGACCTGTCTCAATTTCTATGCTAGAAGCTTCAATTTTTTTTTTTCTTCTTTCTGTACCACCGGGATTTCTTTTTCTTCTGTGTGAATTCTCTATGTGCAGTAACTGTACCATTTGCCAATTGCACTTAGGATTGATAACAAATTGCTCTGATACCACTTGTTAGGATGAATTTATACCATATCTCTCCAACACAAACGAAAGCACACCAACACACACTAAAGAGAAAAAATAATCATACATAGATTTACGCGGTTCGGTTCAAATTGCCTACATTCACGGGAGAGAGAGCTTCCTTCTGTTTCTCTCACCCCTTGCATCTCTAGCTTTCCTCTCACTACTCGCTCAATCGCTCTTAGAGAAACCTTATAGTTCACATGACTATTTATTATAGTTTACCCATGAAAGTACTGGTTCCATACAATTTGGTGACCAAATACGTATTCCTAATAGATTCTAGATTGTACTATCCTAACCCAAATATATGTATAAACCAATCTAATAACTGTATGAGACCTAAATTTATTACATGGATGGACTAATCCTAACAAGAAATAGGTAAAAAGATAAAAATAAAAAGGAGACAGAAATACAACAATCGAAATTATGTGGTGAAATTATCTAGCAGTCTATGGCACTTGGTTTTTGCTTTGATTACTTGGACATTGTCTCTGCAGATGGTAAATATTGGTTTTCTACCTGTTAAATGATTTGAATGAAGTAATAAATAGTAGGGTCTTTCATTGGTTGAGTTGGATGTTTGATTGTTCAAATTATGTGTAATTTCATTTTGGCCACAGCGGAGGTAATTTTGGAATCTGTGATCCTAACAACTGTGGTGGTTGTAAGTCTCACTTTGTACACATTTTGGGCTGCGAAGAGAGGCCATGATTTCAATTTCCTAGGGCCCTTCTTGTTTGGTGCTGTTATGGTGCTTATTCTGTTTGCACTGATTCAGGTAAATGAATATCCATCTTTGCCTTGTCAATAATCTTTTTTGCTTTGGTTTCAACTGCTGAGTCTGCATTTCTTTGTTGAGTTTTGTTGACTTATCAATTCTTGCTTTTATCTTCTTGCAGTCGCTCTTTCCTCTGGGTAAGACCTCGGTTATGATCTATGGTTGTCTGGCATCTATCATATTCTGTGCATACATCATATACGACACCGACAATTTGATCAAGCGCTATACGTATGATGAATTCATCTGGGCTTCTGTAGTGCTGTATCTGGATGTCATCAATCTCTTCCTGTCATTGTTGACTGTTTTCAGAGCTGCAGATAGTTAGGGAGATTCCTCTCTCTCTCTCTCTCTCTCTCCCTCTCTCTCTCTCTTGTATTGTTTGTTGTGAAGTACATAAAAGAGTTGATATGATTAAATTATGTGTTTCCTTGCTGATAAATAGCTGATGGGATGGTGGAGTATGGGATATTTTGCTCTAGTGTAATGAAGTTCAAAGTTCAATACTCTCTTTCCTTTAACTAGTGGTGTTACAGGTGAAATACATGTATGACTTTGGCTTTGTTGGTTTTCCATTGTTCCTTCTCTGCATACAATTGAATATTGCTTAGGTTTTTTTCATTTTTTCTTTTTACTTTATTCCGGAGTAAATGAGAAAAGGTTGTCATAGAGGGCCTTTGTGGAAAATGAAAAGGAACTTATGCCACATGCTATTTATCTATCAATAAATAAATGCAATAATAATTTAGCATATTAATTTTATTGTTTTAATGGAGCACTAATGATATGACAAGGAAGACAAAAAAAAAAAAAAATCAAGATCAAAACATTACATTACAGTGAGGAGAATGCTTGAGAGCACTATATAGGGAGCTCTACGGGAGAGCTTTAATGAGCTGGCTTCTCTAATGATTTGATGGTTGTCTCTGTTTGTTTGTTTGTTTTTGTTTTTGTTTTTTCCTTTACATTTGCAGCTCAGTAGAGCTGTTAGTGTTCTTATTTTTAGAGGTCTCAATCAACTCTTTACAGTGGGTAAGGATCATTACTAGCTCATTCGAGCGATTTTTAGAATTTCAGAATTAGAGTTTTAAATGTATTTTTCAAAAAAATATGTTTAGATGAGATCAAGTGGGGATCATGTACTCTTTTAAATGAGAGTATCAATTTTGAAAAAATTTCGGTGTCATCGAAATGTTTTTGGTAAATTGTGCTTGTTGACCACCCAGTTCACCACACGGTTTGGGACGGATTTTGTGAATTTTATTTTTGGGATTTGCTGGTTAATTTTATTCATTTTAACTGGAAGGTCTTACCAATTAGTAAACTTATCGAGCTAGTTCATTTGATCATTCATGTATATGAGATTGATTATTTTTTCTTTATCTGCAAGATTAATTTTTATTTTTTCTATTGAGTTATATTTTTATTTATATATACATATATTGATTGTGGTGCTTTGTGTTTGTTTGTGTTGGGTTTGTAAATATATATTATTGTTTTTTCATATATAGTTAATTGTTTGGTTTTATGTAATTCTTATGTGTAAATAAGTTTGACGATGAACAAATAAATAAATTACCAACCGGTAAAAAATTGTAAGATAAGGTGGAATTGATCCTGATTTTTTTTTTTAATTTTTAAAACACGATCCTTATCTTCCATTTAACCAACAAGTAATCCTACATGTGAAATTTCTTATTATTATTGGTTGCTGGCAATATTTAATCCAATCTCAAATCCAAAATATTGGAGATCCTCACCATGAAATAAATTAAAATTTGCAAAGTATTGGTCCCTTCCTTTTACTTCAAGATTAAGGCACCAAAGGATCAATCAAGAGATGTTAAAAAAGGTCAAATGATTTGTCAATAGAAAATTTATACAAAAAAAGGAATAAAAAATCTATGGTATTTAAAAATATATATATATATATATATATGAGGATAATGGTAAGCTTTGACTGAAAATAAAAGAACTGTAAGAAGTTACATTTTGTACAAAAATTATTTGAATATGATTATTCTAAAACGTGATTCTGGTCTCGTGATCTAGTGTCTAGAATGGATTAGAATATGCATGTGATCAAGCAATTTTTTATAAAGACTACCAGGTCAGATATTCATTTATGAAATTTTTGGGCCAAAAAGATATTATCTGTCCAAAAGGGACAATTATTTGTTCAAAACTTATTAATTGGTCTATTTGTTCAAATGTTATCTATCGGTGTCATCTATTTGTTAATTATTTGTTCAGATCTCACTTATGTATACATGTGTCACCTATCTATTTAAGTATTTGTTTAATGTTTTCTATTTGTCCGTTATTGCCACCAGCTGCCGTTGCCATTGCCACCAGCGATTTCCAACGACTTTTTTAACTACTTTTTCAGCTAACTTTTTTGGCGCTGATGACTTTTCCGGCGACATTTCAACATGCATTTTTATCATTAAAAAAAAAAATTAAACCGTAGACCAAATAACATGTGGCTCATAAGAATGAATTTTTGACCAATTAACCTTTTTGATAATTTATTTTAACAAGAATTACATTTCACACGGGAAAAAGAAAAAAAAAAAAAACAACGTATAAATATGATTGTGCCACTTTTCCATCAAAATCTCACATTCTAAAAAGATTATTAATCATTTAACACTAAAAAATAATTATAATGCCGATAATATTAAAAAAAAATTTCATTATTTTATAAAAAATTCACACAATTTCTTCTTCCACAATTCCTCTAATGAGATGGAAAGACAGAATGTACATAAGAAGAGTTTTGAGGAATTATTTAAATGTGAGTTAGTTTTTTAAATTTTACTCATCACATTATTTAAAGAAAAAGAAATTATGTGGATAAATAATCTTTCATAAAAAAAAATTGTAGCAAAACTAAACACTTAAATAGAATTTGACACAAAATCTCATTACTACTTTATTAGTGATGAAATTTCCAAAATTAGTATATTTTCCATCCAATCCAAACATAGAACCAATCCATCTGAAAAAATAAATAAATCCAAACGTAGAAAGGATCAATCGGAATGAATCTATAACCCTCATGTGTCCAAGTTAAAAGGGTAAATTAGCTCTTGTCCTTTTTATGTTTAGTTATTTTTTATATTTTGATTTTTAAATTTTATTTATTTTTTATGATAGTTGTTTTAATTTTTTTTTCAATTTATTTTTAAAGTTAATTTTTATTCAAAATTAGACAAAATATTACGATAAATGTCACATAATATAAAAAGGGTAAATTACAAATACAAATCTTGAGATTTGTTTAAAGTACAAATTACCCTTTGTGGTTTGAAAAATTACAAATACCACTTTGTTAATATTTTTTTATTTAATAGAATTAACTAAAAAAATAAAATTCATAATTGCTCTTATATACAATAATAAAATTATCTAAATTATTAATTGAAACATATTTCTAACATCATTAAAAATTGTTAATTAATTTGATGATTTATTAATAAAATGAGCGATTTGTTATGAAATTAGAAACCTAAGGGGGTGAAATGTAATTTTCAAAATCACTAGGGACGATTCGTATTTCAATCAAACCTCAAGGGATGTATTTATAATTTATTGTATAAAAAATAAGGAGAATTACTTGATAGTGGAACATAGGAAAAAAATTACAAAAACATGAGAGGTGCAAGTGAATCTGTAGTGGGGTACAAGTGAAAAACTATACCCCTCTATGTTTGTGTATTTTTTCACTGTCCAATTCTTCCTAAAAAATATATTATTATATTATGATTTAAATTTGTATCAAAAGTGTAAAGTATATAGAATAAAATATTTTTATAACACATGACCATTAATGTATCATTTTCTATTTAATTTTTAACGAAAGTGAACTTAGTAAATTAACTTTACTAAGACCATCTCCAACGGTTCATCAAATCTGGTATCAAATTCAAAATTTAATGAAAAAGTCACTTTTTTTAGCTCCAACGGTTTCACCAAATCGATATCAAATCCAGAATTCAACAAATCTTTTACCAAAATGAGAACAGGCGAAGCATTTTACCAAATCACTGTTCCTAACCGTTGGGAGAGACCAACCGGTCGATCGCCTAAAGGTTCAAACGGTTCGAAGAAAAGGTTCAAACAGTAAAAAAAAAAAAAAAAAAAAAAAAAAAAAAAAAAATTGCCTAACCGGTCGACCAAAAGGTTCAAAAAGTTCAAAAAAAAAAAATCAAAAAAAAAAAAAAAATTTTCGCTTAACCGGTCGACCAACCGGTTGTCCCCGACACAAATTTGATGAAAGTACACCGTTGGAGCGAGTGGTATCAAATTTGGTAAAATGGATTATTTTTGACTCAAATTTGATGAAAAATTTAATTCACCGTTGGAGATGCTTTAAGTGAGGCAAAAATAACTTTAAAGATCAAAATAAAAAAATGAAAGGGTAATTTATTCCAGTTAAAAAGGTAGTTTCATCTTCCTCTAGCGTCGATCCTACACAAATTCTCGCGTGCACCGTACGCGTCGCAACCAGTCACGAAGTTTGTATTCGATCCCCTCCATCTACAGACAATTATTTCTCTCCCCCTCCCTCCAAATCCCACCAAAAACTGAAATAACTGCCAATTCTCTCTCTCTCTCTCTCCCTCTCTGTGAAAATTCTCTTTACCACAAACAGACAATCATCGAACTAAACCCTAACCAGGAAGGACCAACAGTTTTTCAAAATTTAATTCGATTGGATTTGAGATTGCGAGATTGATCTCATCGAAATCCATTTTGGATTGTATCGACTAGAAGATGTGGCAAGAGCGGAAAAACGATGTGGAATCTGGAAATAGGCAGTTGTACCCGACGATGTTGGAGAGTCCGGAGCTCCGGTGGGCATTCATTCGCAAGATTTACTCGATCCTCGCCTTTCAATTGCTCCTCACCGTTGCTGTTGCCTCCGTCATCGTCTTTGTCCGCCCAATCGCCGTCTTCTTCGTCACAACCACCGCTGGCCTCATTCTCTACATCGTCCTCCTCATAACCCCCTTCATTGGTACCCTTTTCCATCAACATTTTTCTTTTCAAATTAAAACCTTTTAATTTGATTGTATTTAAACTATACATTTCTTATCATTTTGTTTGAGCAATTGATTTTTGTTCAATACTTAATGTTCCAACTTTTGATTTTTGTTTAGAAATTGATATTTGAATGGTATGAATGGTTGGTCATTCAAAGTTTTAATTTTTGTCAATTTCATTCTTAAATTTTTTTAATTTGAGTCGATTTGATTTGAATCAAACTGTTTATCTAAATAGTTAACGAAATAATAATAAAATATACATAAGATTACTAAAGTATGTATTCGTGTCATTTGGTCCTTAAATTTTTTAATTTTGTTAGTTTGGTCGCGAAACTTCTTCGAAGAGGATGAAGCATAAACTTACAATATTAAGGGATGAAATTGATGAAAATGAAAATCTATTGATCTAAATGACACGAAACATTTATTTTAGAGACTAATTGAAAATTTTAATCATTCCATTCAATGACGAAGTCAGAAATTTAATATAAGAGACATCTATTAATTACAATCTCAATCAATAACAATAACATAATAATATTTTTTCGAGCTAATCCCTAATGCTAACACAAACAACAACAACAAACCAAAATTTTTAATTTTAGGGGTTGTTTGGGGTGTCCCAAATAAGTACACTTTTTGTCTTTTTGAATTAAAAAATTGAGGAAAAAAATATGAATGTTTGGGTTAACTTTTTGACTTTTTATAGAAAAATGTGTATTAAAAAATTGTATAAATTAGTGTGTAAGGAAAAATTAAGATTGAGAGTTGTGCATCCGTAATTTTTGACTTTTGGTGAATAGTGATAACTTTTTAACTTTTTGAGTAATTTTTTGACTTTTTGGCAACTTGCCAAACTTAGCCTTAATATAAATCATCATCAATCAAAATTCATAATTTTAGCATTTCAAAATCTCTTATTTTATCATAAATAATAACAAATAATTTTTTTTTTACAAAATCAAAACTTAACAAATAACTATAAATTAATACTCATAATTTTTATTTAAAAGTAAAAAATAATAAATAAAGGCACTTGTAAACAACGAAGAGAAGACACCAAGGTTGCTGTGTGGTTCCAAATTTGTGTTGTGTGATCCCAATCTGGTGAATCACGAGTCAGTAAATTGCAAAATAATAAAAAGAAACAAAATAAATACGGAGACACTTAACCAGTACTATGAATAAATAAAAAAATAAAGAACTTCATATACTTTTAAAGTAATAGAGATCCTGCCGGCTGTCATTGAAAGCCTTGCCTAACAAGTCTTTTGTGTGTGTGTGTGTGTGTGAGAGAGAGAGAGAGAGAGATTAACTCTTGCCCAGCAAGTTAAGAATTAAAACAAAAAAGAAAAGAAAAAAAAGTCAAGACTTTGGAAATTGGGGGAGGGGGGAGGGGCTATATTAGTGTTTATCAGTGTTTAGCTGGGAGTCTAGGACCCAATAATTTTTTTTGGAAAAGTCAGGATGTGGGATGTCAGTGTTTGGTTTGGAGCTGTGTGTGAGCGTTTAGCTAAGACTAAAAAAAAAAAAAAAATGGCAAGGGACACGTGACCCCCTGGTCCTTTATTGTCTCCGCCCCCGATTCCATTAACGATTTAAACGATCGTTTAGAATTGGACTAATTTGGCTGAAATTGAGAACTTCAGAGACAATTGACAAAATTAAAATTTGAAGGGCCGAAGTGACACCGAACATACATTTAGTGGCCGTAAGTGTATTTTATCCTTTTTAATTACTTGACGCTTCTTGTGTCTCTTTTTTGATCATGTGTTTGATGTATTTGTTCTGTTTTTGGATTGAATACTGTTGCAGCTTTGTGCCCGTTGTATTACTATCATCAGAAACATCCATTGAACTTTTTTCTCCTCGCGCTGTTCACAATTACTCTTGCTTTTGGTGTGGGATTGTCATGTGCGTTTACCAAGGGTAAGCACCGTTTCATTCTTCATTTTCTCCTCGAATTTTTGTTATGAACAAGAAAAAAAACATGTTTCTTTGTTAGTATATGGATTCAAGGCATTTTCAAAAGTAGAGGGAAAAATAGTATTGAATGTGTTAGTGTATGATTAGCTTTAGCATGTTAGTGTATGATTGTAAATAGCTTTAGCACTTTATCTTTTATAATGTAAATTCTTTGTGCTTTCGGTGGGCATCCAATGCATCACATTCTCTCTATAAAGAGAGTGCATTCTCTTTGTAAGAAATATACAATCACAGACAAACTACAATTCAGTCTCTCTCTCTCTCTATCAAACTATTGTTTTAACATATTGAGATTGATTGTCATTTCATTCGCCAGCATGTTGCCTGTGGTACTGTTCATCTTCTCTCTATTGCTTCAGTCGATCAACCCGCTGATATCTTCACTAAGGCTCATCCTCCTGGCCGCTTCACTGATCTTGTTTCCAAACTCAACTTGGTTGATGCTTTCCCTCCTTGAGTTTGCGGGGGGATGTTAGTGTATGATTAGCTTTAGCATGTTAGTGTATGATTAGCTTTAGCATGTTAGTGTATGATTGTAAATAGCTTTAGCACTTTATCTTTTATAATGTAAATTCTTTATGCTTTTGGTGGGCATCCAATGCATCACATTCTCTCTATAAAGAGAGTGCATTCTCTTTGTAAGAAATATACAATCACAGACAAACTACAATTCAGTGTCTCTCTCTCTCTCTATTCTCTCTCTCTCTATCAAACTATTGTTTTCAGAATGAATATTTAGGAAGTGGTACCCAAATTGTGAAAACCTGGATTAGGTTTTTAGATATTTAGCGCATTGGTCATAGGTATTTGGAAGGATATATAAAGCAATAATTTTGGAAATAACACTGGATGCCCTGTTTGTCATTTTAATCTTTAGACTAGTGTGCTCTCTAATTTAATGTAAAAGGAATTCCTGCTACAAAATGCAGGAAATTTGGAGACGTGGTTTTGCTTGAATGACCATTTTGAAATTGTAATCTGAAGCATAGCTGTAGTTAGTTTTGTAATGTTGATTATTTATTATCAGATAAGCTAGAGCCTGCACCGATTGACCACAAAAATTTCAACTCTCTTTCTCCAGCCCTATGAAAAATGGAAAAATTCAGGATTTTGGTTTTATCAAGATATGAGATCATTTTTGGCTGTTTCAGATGGTGGAAAAAAGATTGTTGTCTAGTTGCACAGAAATCATTTTTTTTTCTTTTCTTTATTGCTTTTATATCATTTATATCATTAGTATTCAGCTATTTATTTGAAAATAAAATATATGTATGCAGTTCTAAGGGACAAAGGTAAAAGGGCTTTCTTTTAGTACCTTGGTGCTTGTCATAGCTATTTTGATTGTTTTAATCCTGCCTATAATAAAGTCATCGTATGAAGTAGAATTAACAAAAGTGAAATTGATAAAACCTCAAATTTGGTTAAGCAAATTTCTCCAATGGTCACAAATATTCCTAAGATACATTCAATAATCCTGATATTAAGTTGAGAGTGGTGGTCATTTCAAAGAGAAACATAATGCTAGTATGAATGTAGGGTTTGAAAACCCAGTGAATTGGATTTGCTCTATTATCATTATCCATTATTATTTTGATCATCTGGATCTTGTTTCTAGATCTAGAGTGTTTGTTTTCAGAAATATGGCTTCAGCAGTCTGTTGGGCATCATTTTGAATCAAGTAATGCATGGGAGTGTCTCTGTTTGTTTGTTTTATTGTTCTAAGTATATGTAATTTCGATTGACTACAGGGAGGATCATTTTGGAAGCTGCAATTCTAACAACTGTGGTGGTTGTGAGTCTCACTCTGTACACATTCTGGGCTGCAAAGAGAGGCCATGATTTCAACTTCCTTGGACCTTTCTTGTTTGGTGCTCTTCTTGTGCTTATGGTCTTTGCATTGATTCAGGTATAAAGATTGATGTCTTTGCTTTGGTTTCTTTTGTTCTTTCTGGGTAAAGAGCGTATTTCTTTATTTGGATTTCTTCTTGTTGGATGTGAATGTAAATTCTTGATTTTCTCTTATTTCAGATTCTCTTTCCTCTGGGTAAGATCTCAGTAATGATCTATGGGGGCCTAGCTGCACTCATATTCTGTGGGTATATTGTTTACGATACTGACAATCTGATCAAGCGCTACTCTTATGATGAATACATTTGGGCTTCTGTATCGCTGTATCTCGATGTCATTAATCTCTTCTTAGCGTTATTAACTATTCTCAGAGCGGCAGATGGTTAGGTGGATTTCACCGTCCTGCCTTCTCCTCACCTTACCATCTCATTCCCCCCCCTTCCCCCCCCCCCCCTGGAAAACATACATAGATAGATGTGTGATCCAAGTCCATCTAAGTTTCTGTAGTATTTCTACACATTAATTGTATTTAAATGTAACAGAAGAAACTAACACTCTCTCTCTCTCTCTCTTCCAGCGTTTGATTGGGCACCCTTTTGACATAAAAAGGAAACCCAGATTTGCATCCAACAAAGTTAAATAACAAAGCCAACTAAATATGGTTGTACAAAAGCAAAGCACACACATGGTGTCTGAATCTAGGACATGTAACATGTCAATGTCCTTGCTCAACACGGCATTCTTTTCCTCAAGGTTTGTCCTTTGACAGCTCCAAAACCTACGTTTACAAAAGCATAACCACATGGTTGTACCGATTTTGCTTACATTGATTCTAATGGTTTTACATTTTAGTTAATTGATTTGGAGCTAGAAAATTGATGATTTCCAATGAACCAATTTTGTTCAATTTTGACCCTGCCGGTTGCTGTCTTTAACCCAAAGTCCCTAACACTGCTCTCCTTGCTTAGAATCAAGTTTTTGGTGCAAAAGTTATGTGATGGTGTAGATCACACCACTTCATTATTTGGTCAAGCCACTTATCACATCTGATGTGATATCCACCATGTGATGATATGAAAAAGTTTGGGACTCACAATTTAGGACCCTCATAACTCCCAAATGTGTGTGATTGTGTTTTTGTTTTTTTTTTTTATAATTTTTTTCTTTCCTCTCTCTTACCTAAGATGATGTAGGGGTCGTGAGGATGGAATTTTTGTAGGGTTTCAATCATTGCTCTGTGATCATATTGATAAAAGATTAGAACCTATCATTGATGACTCATTGATGACCATAATCGATAAAAATCAATCAGTGTGTTTGGTTTCAGTTTTCTAAATTCAATTTTTTAAAAATTGAGTTTTTTTTTTTTATTTTTCGTGTTTTTTTGTTTTTAGTAAATATTTTTAGAATTTTAAGTAACTTTTTTTTTTTTACTTTTTTAAATGCATCTTACTTAGATGTATTTAAATAGTAAAATATTTGTGAAAAAATATTTTAAAAAATTAATAAATACAAAAAAAAAATGTACTTAATTTTTATATTTTTTTTTTGTATTTTTGGTAGTTAGTGAATTTTTTAATATAAAAAAATTACTTAAAATATTAAAAAAATTTAGGAAAAACAAAAAGTATGAAAAATGAAAAAATAAATTTTTTTGAAAAATAAATTTTAAAAACTGAAATCAAACCGAGGGCGTGATTTTAATCACTTCCATTTTCAATTGCAAAGTGTACCACTGCCATCGCACTTTGGGATACTACTTTGCACATGTTTTTAAAAACATTATCTTTTTAAGATGCACCTTATTTAGATGTATCTAAAAAGTAAAAAATTTGTGAAAAAATATTTTTAAAAATTAATAAACACATAAAAATATAAAAAATGTACTGAATTCTTGTATTTTTTTTTTTTATATTTTTGGTATTTAGTGAATTTTTAAAAGGTTTTTTCAATTTTTTTTTACTTTTTATGTATATTTATGTTAGGTATGTCTAAAAATTAAAAAAATTCAATAAAAAAAAATACGAAAAATAATAAAATAGAATTTTTTGAAAAATATTTTTGAAAAGTGGTAACCAAGCATAGTGATAAGCTTCCTGTAAACAGGCATTTAAGCCTTTCTATTTTTTCAATTTCTAATGTGGGAAGGAATATAAGCCTTTCCATTTCTTCCCTTTCTCATAGGAGATCTATATCTATTTATATATTATATAAAAAAAAAAAATTAATAAAGAATCGTACGAGAGTTTCAATATTTTATATTAATTATTTTAATTTTAAATAATTAAAACAATTTCATTTGGTTAGCTTTTATTTAATCATATAAAATTAAAATTCTAATTAATTTATGATTTATTTAATAATCTCGCATTGGAATCTTGTATTCCTATTTAATATTGTAGTGTTATGCATGTTTCAATTCAAAATAGTTTAAATTTAAAAATTTTAATTAATTAATTTTTGTGTAAGTTGGTTAATCTTTTGATCTAGCCAATTAGGTTGAATCATTTTTGATTTGACTGATTCGTTGGTTTAACTATAATTTTAGTGATTTTTTCAAAATATATTGATTAGATTTGTTTGATTCGAAATAAACTAAAAACTGCTTGATTAGAAATAAACTTCCCGCCTAAATAATTATTGACTTTTATTTTCAATTCCACATAGAAAAAAGAAAGAAAGAATGAGTTGTTTCAGTTATAAAAAGTGAACCTTTATAGTGTAGTGTTGTGCATTCTTCAATTCAAGACAGCTTAAATTTTAAAATAAAATTAAAATAATATTTAAAAGTTTTAATTGATTAATTTTTGTATAAGTTGGTTGGCCATTGGACTTAATTGACTAGTGGAATCATTTTCGATTTAAATGGTTCGTTGATTTAATCGCAATTTCTCATACTGATTTTTCTAATTTTAATCAATTAAAAAAAAAATTATTGGTTAGTTTCCATTTAACCATATAAAAATAAAAATCTAGTTAGTTTATGATTTATTTTATAATCCCACATCGAGAGAAGAAGGAAAAAGTGCTTTTAGTTTATGATTTATTTTATAATCCCACATCGAGAGAAGAAGGAAAAAGTGCGTTGTTTCACTTATATAAAGTAAATTTTATACTTCAATTTAAGACAATTTAATATTGTAGTGTTATGCATAGTTCAGTTCAAGACAATTCAAATTTTAAAATAAAAATTCAAATAAGTCTATGATATAATTTATTTTATAATCTACATCGGGAGAAGAAGAAAAAAATGAGTTATTTCACTTATATAAAGTGAGTTTTAGACTCCCATTTAATGTTGGGATATTGTGTATATTTTAGTTCAAGACAGTTTAAATTTTAAAATAAAATTTGAAAGTTTTAATTAATTAATTTTTGTATAAGTTGGTTGGTCTTTTGACTTAGTCGATTAGGCTAAATCATTTTCAATTTGATTGATTCACTGGTTTAATCGCGATTTTAGCAGTTTTATCAAAATATATTGGTTAGATTTGTTTGATTCGAAATAAACTAAAGATTGAACAACTGATTGTTTGATTAGAAATAAATTTCCCACTTAAACAATTGTTAAATATTATTTTACAATTCCACGTCAGGAGGGGAAAAAAAAAAAAAACTGAGTTGTTTCCCTTATATAAAATGAACCTTATGCTCCTATTTAATATTGTAATATTGTACATATTTCAATTCAAAACAGTTTAAATTTTAAAATTAAAATAAATTTTAAAAGTTTTAATTAATTAATTTTTATATAATTTGATTGGTCTTTTAACCAAACCGATTAAGCTAAATTATTTTTTGTTTGACTGATTCACTAGTTTAACCGCGATCTTAGTGATTTTATCAAAATATATTGGTTAAATTTGTTTAATTCGAAATAAACTAAAGATTGATCTAATTAAATATTAAATGATTGATATTATTTGATTCGAAATAAACTTCCCACCCAAACCATTGTTAATTTTTATTTTACACAATTTCAAATCGGAAAAAGAAAGAAAAAATAAGTTATTTCAATTATATAAAGTAAACATATGCTCTCATTTAATATTGTAACATTGTACATGTTTCAGTTAAAAATAATTTAAATTTTAAAATAAAATAAAATATAAATGTTTTAATTAATTAATTTTTGTATAAATTGGTTAGTCTTTTAATCGATTTTAACGATTTTATCAATATATGTTATTTTATTTCTAAAAGGTATGTTTAAATTTTATGACAAACTTCAGGAGGGGAAAAAAAAAAAAAAGTGAGTTGTTTCCCTTATATAAAATGAACCTTATGCTCCTATTTAATATTGTAATATTGTACATATTTCAATTCAAAACAGTTTAAATTTTAAAATTAAAATAAATTTTAAAAGTTTTAATTAATTAATTTTTATATAATTTGATTGGTCTTTTAACCAAACCGATTAAGCTAAATTATTTTTTGTTTGACTGATTCGCTAGTTTAACCGCGATCTTAGTGATTTTATCAAAATATATTGGTTAAATTTATTTAATTCGAAATAAACTAAAGATTGATCTAATTAAATATTAAATGACTGATATTATTTGATTCGAAATAAACTTTCAACCCAAACCATTGTTAATTTTTATTTTATACAATTTCAAATCGGAAAAAGAAAGAAAAAATAAGTTATTTCAATTATATAAAGTAAACATATGCTCTCATTTAATATTGTAGCATTGTACATATTTCAGTTAAAAATAATTTAAATTTTAAAATAAAATAAAATATAAATGTTTTAATTAATTAATTTTTGTATAAATTGGTTAGTCTTTTAATCGATTTTAACGATTTTATCAATATATGTTATTTTATTTCTAAAAGGTATGTTTAAATTTTATGACAAACTTTAACATAGAATAAACTAAAATTAAAAATTTATAAGATGAAATTTATTTTTATTTTATCATAAATATAATTTTCTAAAGTTATTCTATTTTTTTTTCATATTTACCAACTAAATTATAACACTATTTCTTATTGTGAATTTAAAATATACAATTAATAACAGAACAATTGCAATATATATTCTAATATAATGGTTAAAATATAATTCATTCTAAATTATTTTTTATACTTTTAAATAAATTTTAGGGTTTTTTTTTTAAGATCCCTCGTATTAAGATTTTATAGCATAAAAGACATCTAATATTTTCATAATGTCTAAGGTCCCTCAAGTTGGTCCAGAGAAAATTAGTCCAGAGAAAATTCACGTTACAAAGAAAATTGGTCCAGAGAAATTCTGAGAAGAATTTTTCTGGACTTTCTAGAGAAATTTAAATTTCTCCAAATAACGTAGCAACCCTTTCTTCAAGCAATATTTGCTCTTGTTGGAAATCCAGAGAAAGTTGGAAAAGAAGAGGTTGCCAAATTTCTCTGGACAACATTGAGGACTAGTTCAATCCAAACCAGAGAATTTTTCTAGATCAACCCAGAGAAATTTTAGTTCAAATCATAGAATTTCTCTGGACCAATCCAAAGAAAATTCAATTTAAACCAGAGAATTTCTCTAGACCAACCCAAAGTAATTTCAGTTCAAACCAGAAAATTTCTTTTGACCAATCCAGAGAAATTTCAGTTCAAAGTAGAGAGAGAGAACCATTTCATTGAGTGAATAAGCAACAATAGCAACATATATATATATATATATATATATATTAAAATGTGTTTTTGTACAAAGAGAAATCAATTAATGAAGAAAATAAACCATGAGCACAGAATCCTGCTTTGTTAAGACTGCGAGCACTCGAAGACAAATATCATGATAACAAAGAATATAATCCTCTTCACGCATTTCACATAGCCCCCAACCACATAGGTTTTGAAGATCACCCCATCATGATTCACAAACTCTTGCAACTCAGAAAAGCTTCTCGCCAATCCAAAAAATAGGACATAAAAGAAATATGACACACAAGATATTTTACTCTCAATGCAATTTAACAAGTATTTTGGTTTGTATTAAAGACATACTGGTCGAGCAACACATGTAAATTCATAAATTGTATCTCCCGTAAGAACCAGAGATTATATTACAACCCTTCATTCCCCTTGATCCGAGCAGACTTCTTATTCTTCTTTCTTCTGGGAGCACCGACAGCACCAGGGTCCACTAACGGGCCAGACCAAGTTTGGATGGATGGTTTTGAATAAAAGAAATTCATGGAACTGAATGGGACATCAGGAGGGTCAAACGCTAGATCTATGTGATGTGGACATCTTGTGCGATTTCACACTCCTATCGACGACCAAAGGGTGAACTCGAGCGTGAGTGAACCATCGACAGAACCGTGTGTCCGGTGGAGGTCTGATTTGGTGATGATCTCCCTCTCAGAGCGTCGGCAAATTCAGGGGGAAGCTGAGGTTCTAGAGTTTCTGAGATATATATAAATAATATATATATATATATATTTGTGTATGTATTCTAGAGAGAGAGAGAAAGAGAGAGAAGTGGGAAGCTGAGGTTCTAGGGTTTCGGAGAGAGAGACAGAGGAAGTGCTGCTCTGCAATAGAGGAGGAGAGACAAAGAGTCAAATTTCTCTTTATATGTTTAGGGACCTTAGACATCAAAAAATAATTTTGTAGATCTTTTCCATTATGAAAAGTGGAAGAGGAACCCTAGACTAATTTTCCTTAAATTTTATGTTATTATTTAATTTTAAAATTAATTTTAATTATTTATTTAGCCCGCGCATTACACTGTTCACATACTAGTTCATATATAAGAATAAAGGCTGTCACCCCCCAAAAAAGTAAACCTAATTTTGAAAACTCCCCAAAATTATAAATGAATACTATTAAAGACTCTTCAACCATCACTCTTGATTTACCCACCCACACAAATGTTGCCGGTATTGAGTCTAAATTAGTTGACTTCCATACAAATCAACAATTAATATGCAACACTCAACATCATTAGAGATATATTTATTTAAGAATGATGTTTCAAGCGTCACAAACATTATATATATCCCACATTGCCACAAATCTATTGTTAAAACCTATCACCTACTTCACCCACTTAAACCTACTCCACTAAACCTAACCCACTACACCACTACCACCTCACCTACTCCACTAAACCTAACCCACTACACCACTACCACCTCCACTTCACCTACTCCTTACCTACTACACACTCACCCTCTTCTATATATAGGAATCATGAATCATTGTAATAAACAGAACATTAATATCAATCAATAATACAATTCTCTATTTCTCTTTATACATTAAATTTTCTACATCTATCCATGCCACACTATTTTGCCACAAACCTATCCATGGCATCAATTTAACTTCTCTGCCAATACTTTCCTACCATGATGAGCATTAGATGCACGCACAATTGGCACTTCATTCAAGCAAGGGATGAGATGGGATCAGTGTTGGTACTTACCTTTTTTCTGGGGTGATGATTCCTGCAACATGACTGCTCTTCATCTTCAGCATCACCACCTGCAAATCTCACAAAACTTGCCATGATCAACAATAAAAAAAGTAGATAAATTTAGGAGACCATGGATACTAGCGGACTTTTTCTTTTTTCTTTTTTTAGCTAGTACAAAGAAGTGAAAATAAGGGCATGATGCAATAACAGGAAGAAAATTCAAAATCTTCAACTTTTTCATGAACTTAAAAAGTTCGCATACACTTTCCCATTAATGGGAAGAAGAGATTCCAACCTACAGTAACCAGTCATATGAGGGATTTATAATTTACACATTCTCCGCAGAGGCTGTGCTGAACATGGTTTTAGTTTCCTGCTAGATGACAGTTTCCTTGAAGCTCTTAGTCAACCAAATAGCAGTTTCCCTGGGAGAAACCTTCCCGGGTCCAAATGGCTTCAGTAACACTCCAAGCTCATTAAACCTTTCCTGTTGCAAGAGCTGTGCACTGAATTCGAGCAATCCTTCTAATGCCTCGGCACGTTGTTGGTATGATGAGGTGTCGAACCGACGCTGCCGAGAATCAGAAGATGAGCGGCTTGAAACAACAGTTGTTGGATTCTGATCTGAGCATTCACTTCCACTTCTTGGAGCTACACGATTAGCATCAGCTTTGCATGGCTTGGCCAATGTCCTGTCTAGAATCTGGACTGTACATTTGTCTTTTGTGATTGAACGGTCACCACTTGTTGGTGAGGTTGTACAGCAATGAGCAGATGTTGAAGAAGGTCTGCAGATGGAAAACATGGGTTCTTCAGAGGAGGCTAAGGGGAATTCAACCACTCTGTCAATTCGCGGAGCATTGACAGAGATGTCTGGAGATCTGACACTGCTCAGGAGACCACCATTGCGATTATAAGGCGATTCAAATGTTGTAGCTCTAGTTGATAATGGAAGAGATGCTCTGCGAGTTGGTTGGAAAGGTTTGCTTGCTGGAGTACGCGTCACAGTAACCTGCAAATGTAAGTGTACCATTGAGAGTTTCTTGGCTGTTAAGACTAGTTTTGCATCTGATCTACAAAGCCAGAGCACTAGATCGAGTACAATATCTATGGTTTTTCTTTTCTTTTATTTTTTCCTTTTTCTGAGCATTCACTTCCACTTCTTGGAGCTACACGATTAGCATCAGCTTTGCATGGCTTGGCAAATGTCCTGTCTAGAATCTGGACTGTGCATTTGTCTTTTGTGATTGAACGGTCACCACTTGTTGGTGAGGTTGTACAGCAATGAGCAGATGTTGAAGAAGGTCTGCAGATGGAAAACATGGGTTCTTCAGAAGAGGCTAAGGGGAATTCAACCACTCTGTCAATTCGCGGAGCATTGACAGAGATGTCTGGAGATCTGACACTGCTCAGGAGACCACCATTGCGATTATAAGGCGATTCAAATGTTGTAGCTCTAGTTGATAATGGAAGAGATGCTCTGCGAGTTGGTTGGAAAGGTTTGCTTGCTGGAGTACGCGTCACAGTAACCTGCAAATGTAAGTGTACCATTGAGAGTTTCTTGGCTGTTAAGACTAGTTTTGCATCTGATCTACAAAGCCAGAGCACTAGATCGAGTACAATATCTATGGTTTTTCTTTTCTTTTATTTTTTCCTTTTTTATAAAATTATGACCCACTACTTAATGGGCTTAAAATATGGTCAATAAGAAGAAAGATCACAATGATTAGATGATATGTTACTATCCCATTCAAAGGTTTATCATGAGCACTTGCACTAAAAAATTCAGTCTGAAGTACCAGGGTTTGATGAGATGGTTTCATAATCATTCAAATATAAGATATTTTTCTAACAATTAATCCAAGTTCAGACCATTATACCTGCCATCTTCAATTATTGTTGGAGTCCATGAGAAAAAGCATGACTAGAAAGTTTTCATTTTGGAGAAAATTCCCAAAAATAAGGAAAGCTTTGTTCTTTTAGGTCAGAATCAATGAACTAAAAAAAGGAAAGCTCTCAATTCTGTATCTATATCACTTGTCTATAACTTACCGAATCACAATTTTCACCAATGTTTGATATCTTCGGAGGAGCTATTTGTCTCCTTGGAGTTGCCAACGTTTTTGCTGGAGTCAATCTTGGGGTCTTGGCAGCACTTGAAAACTTTGTGGCTGTTGACATTTCAACACCAATATCTTCATGGACACTGCCACTAGATAATTCTGAGAACTTTTTATTAAAAAATCTTGGACAATGGCGTGCTCTCTGAGAAGAACATGGAGAGTCCAGTTCAGTTCCAGATATGCTAGGATTCAAGGCCCTGTCGTTACTATATGATTGTCGCCTCTCTCTGTCTGTAAGCTTGGTAACAGCTTCAGGCTTGAGAAGTCTAGTTTTTCTTGTAGTGTTGGAATCAGACCATTGTGCTGGTAAAGTATTCCGTCTAGGGCTATTAGATTTGAGATGGATCTTCAGAATGTATGGTTGAAGATGTGGATGCCTGAACAAATCTGCAGCCTGGCAAAACAAAGCTACACACTTGAAAGGGGAAAAGAGATCCAAAGAAACAAAGTTAAAGCCACGTTCCCACTCCGACTTAATATTATCTGCTCCACATGACATGCACTATGATATGGTTTAAACTTGCAATGTGTTCAACAGTTCAAGTTTGTCCTTACGATTTTCAAATGGAACTTTTATAATACATAATCAAGCACCTAAACCTTGCGTGTGTGTGTCTGGGTGAATACAGAGGGGCCAGTTGTTGGTTACGACAAGTCATTTCCTCAAATTCAGAAGATTATTAGATGTGGCCTAGTCATGCTTTGAGTTTACAGTAGCTCGGCAAAAATGTTGGAAATTCTCTCAATCTGCCAAAATTAAAGAACATTAAATATTACCCCGTGGTAGTACTGTTAATCAAGGGCGCTGAGAGAGCACAATCTGGATACAGACCTAACTTTTATATTACTTCATTTATGCACTAGTAGATTCTCGCAAGGAAGACTGAGCTTTTATCATGGCACCAAATATTCCATAGTAAAGGGAATGTATTAGATACACCAACCCAGGTTGATACACTCCAAATGATTGTGGCATTTTGGAATAATGTACACTCTTGATAAGCATACCCAATTCCATTTACCATAATCGAATGCACAAAAGCTCAACATCTAAGGCCAATTAGAATGAAAAAAGAAGGAATGGGTTGTCCCAGGGAACATGGTACGCTTTGGTGAGCGAAACAGTCGCCTCTCCAACAAGAAAGGTATAAATATGGAAACTTCTATGCCATTTGGATCGGAGAATTTATGAAGGAAATCAGGTTATATGTTCCCAGAAACCACATGATCATATAGATAATTTACCATCCTTTCAAAGAATGGCCTTCCCATCATGACTCATATATATATATATATATGAAAAGTTTAAAGTTATATCAGCTTGACCCGTGAAATTGGATTCTGAATATATTATATTTCGGCCTCAAGATCACCTTGGATGACCATCCTATAGTGAATATCATAGTCGTTGTGAAGTCACTAAGATTATTTTGCATGTACACATGTAGAAGGAACAAGTAAATATAGATTATTACATACACTTGGTCTAAGTTCTGGATTCTTGCGTAACATACTTTTAATAAGCCCTTGGCTGGAAAAAGATCAATAAACAAATCAGTAAAACAAAAGAAGTCATTTGTAGCTGCAAATAATAGAAACAAAAAGAATGATGCTCGGAATAATATAAAACCCCTGTGCAAGAACAAGATGACAAACTCACAATGCAGCAGAATACATGGTCGGTAGTGGAGCCACAATTGATTTATTTATTTTGTTGATAAGAGCTTGCATATCCTGGTCATAGGAAACAAAAACATATCATCATTAAAAGACCAAAACCTAGAATAACAAACAATTCTGATTTACCCAAAAAGAGAGGTGGAAACCATTATTACAATACCATGTAGAGGAATTAATTGTCTACCTATATTTCTCTCACCAAACAAGTCTATATTTTTGATAATTGGGTGCTCAGGCCAGCATGCCCACACCTAAATTAATCCCAGGTCGCTGAAGTTAACGATAGGGCAAACCTCCAGTGGCCCCTAGGGGTAACTTGAACTCGAGACCTTAGATCTTATTTTCAAGTCTTTACGGCTTGGCCAATCCCTTGGGGTTCACTAAACAAGTCTATATTATTCTAACTATAACAATGATTTGAATCTTTCTAATGAAATTTACTTTTTCCACCACTAGTCCTTCTAAAGAATGAAGCTGTCACTACAAGAGATACGATCAAACTCTTTGGGATCAAACATCAATTGCAACGGTTCAAATTTTAGTTTTTTTAATAAGCTCATCGAAGATTCTTGCCAATATCCACACTCAGTTTTAATACATTCTTTCCATGGGTCACCAATAGGCCTTCAAAATTAGTTGTTTAAATTCAGATGCAAAACCACTCCGCAGGATTGCACACTGGAATCTTTAGGTAATCATATTTCCACAGTTTTCAAAATGATTTGCATTGACTTAATCTTTTAACACCTTGCATACCCAGCTCCCAGCCAGGCTAAGATGGTCCTCACAAAGAAATCAAGACTATCTACCTACATCAATCATCAGATCACTAAAAAATGTAAAATAAACAACAGGAGAAAGATAAATGCCAATACAATGACTTCATTAATGATCTTGCATTAAACACAAGTCCGTAAACAATTGCATATAACAAGCATTAGATGCAAATATACTAAGCATTCCAAATTCATAAAGATTAAATTAAATGTCAAAGTTTCATGAGGATAATGAATCAATCCTTAACTATTCAAATGACAAATCCATGACTTACAAAAGCTTTAAAAGCAGCCTTGTGGGCAGCCATTTCATATATGCAGCATCCTGAATAACACAAATTAGGAATGTAATAAATGATCGGCAAAGAAATGGACACATTTAGAACAGATGAGCTGAAAAGTTCAAAAATGATTTGGAGTTTACCTAAAGACCAGATATCTGACTTTGAACCATAAGGTATATCAGCGAGAAGTTCAGGACACATATAACTAGGAGTTCCCACCACCTGCAATTGAAGCCGATACATCAGAGCAATTAGATTATACAGAAGAACAAACATGAAGCTAAAACAATGATTTTAGATACTCACAGAGGAAGCAAGATCATCGGAAGTCAACATCTTAGCAAGACCAAAATCACCTGCAACCAAATATATTTTAATACCTCTAATAAAATAACACAAAATTATCATTAACAAAATTATGAAGGTGCAGTCAGGAATGGCAGCAATAAGGTAAGACTTCATTTACCTAAGCATATGTCCTGATCTTTTGTCAGAAATATATTCGAACACTGAAGCAAGTGAGAAACATCAGCAGTGCAGAACAACCCTTGAGATTTCAGAGATATAACACTTCACTTAAAACTTTACAAATCACATAGAGAGGCAACTAACCTTGACATCACGATGAAGGATACGGTGTGTATGCAAGTAATCCAATGCCATCAGGAGTTGAACTAGCCATTTACAGAGTTTCTGCATGTAATTCAACATTGAGGAATGAAATGGAAGTATTTTAAGTTTGGAAAGTTAGTATAAAAAACCAAATAAATAAATAAAAATGAAAATTATAAATTAGAAAAGAAACTGTAAAGTTGGCCGCCAGATGAAAACCTCTTCAGGAAAATGAACACCATTGGCTCTTTTAATAGCTTCCGCCCTATATCAATAAAGAAGGGAAAATACTCAAAGGTCACATGAAAGCAAGATTGCATCACATCCAAACAAATGATCTAGCTATTTTCTAATAAATTATTCAAGCAACACAAATAACTTACATATCTCCTCCTTCACAGTACCCTATAACAATGCAGACATAGCATCCCTGAACAAAGAGACAAAGTTGTTGATCACACAACAGAACCAGATTACAATAGCCCATTTGTTACTCAAATATTATATAGCATGCCATTGTAGCAAATAATTTATAGCGATTCAACACAAAGAAAAGATTTTTGGAAAAAATCTCACCCCCCCCCAAAAAAAAAAACTACTACAAAGATCTACTTGTTGTCATGCCAAAAACCTCTCTAACAGATACTATAATTGGAAATATGAGATTTGCTGTTGATTTTGCATTGCATTTCACACTTACATTTGAGGCAACAACAGCCAAAGCAATCAGACTCATTGTTTACACATTTATTGCATTGTCATGCAATATGCATGGCAATTGAAGACAAATAATTGCATGCAACATATTGCCTATTTAGGAGCACAAGGTTAGGGTGACAATGAAGTGAAGTGAGCTATCTATGAACAGCTTGAGCTTGGTGTAACATGGCAATGTTTGAACTTGTCCATTTGTTAAATGAACTAAGCTAGGAGCCCAATACTAAACCTTCTTCAGCAAATAAGCCAAGTCCAAGCCAGTCTAAGGACGACTCAGTTCGGATCATTATAAGAAAATCCAAAATAGTACACGGAAAAATGTAACCATTATACTGAATGTCTTTTATAATTTTTATGATAAGCCAAATGCAGTAGTATTCTCTGGCTTGACATGGAATCAAACAAGGTCTTTCATGCTGATGTGATCCAATGGTAAACCAAGTTTCATCATTTGAGTATCTTCCTTTTGATCTCTATCAAAAACCTTGCATAACTAGTAAGAAGAAGAGTTACTGCAGATGATATGCATGCTCTTCCCTGCCAAGGATGCCATATCATCTATGATGGAGCTAACAAAATTACCACTCGTTATTTGCAAAGACACACAAATGACACCTCTTTCCACTAGATAAATTGTGAGTTCATTCACAGAGATCAAACTGAACAGCCAATAACTCACTTTAAGCTCAAAAAAGTGAAGAGCATGCACGAGGGTAGGAAATATATAAAGGAAAAAAAAAAAAACCGTCATGAGACCATTAAACGAGCAAGAAGATGCTAAGAATATTTGACGGGAACAACAGGTTAAAGGGATAAGCAATCAAATGTCTAGTGAAAAAACTGTTTCACATGATATTAAGTACAGACCTTTTCTACCCAGGAATCCTTGTACTCCACAATGTATGGATTTCGCACTTTGGAAATAAGCTCCATCTGCACAACAAAGAACCAAAGGAGCATCTTACACTAGCGATACACATGAAGATACTGAATACACACAAAATTTCATACCAAAAAAAAATAATAAATTACATCCCATCAAAACTCAGTAACATCCCATCAGTTTTGTTTTTACATAAAGAACAAATGAAACACTGACCTCCAGGTGGGCAGATCTGCGGGTTCTATCAGTCTGACGAGCAAGGCGGATTTTCTTGAGGACATACCTTGAAAGGGGATGAAAAATATAAACCACCAATCACATTAAACAAATGAACATACAACAGCTCAGATAAGAATCTCATTTCACATGGTCCAACTTTTCAAGTAACCGTGCAAAGTAAGAAGCTTGCATAAAAGTGTGTGTTTGGTTTGAATTTTTTGGATTAAGTTTTTTGAAAATTGAGTGTTTTGGTTTTCGTGTTTTTTTGTTTTTAGTGAATATTTTTAAAATTTTAAACATTTTTTTTAGTTTTTTAGATGCACCTTACTTAGATGTATCTAAAAAGTAAAAAATTTGTGAAAAAATATTTTAAAAAATTAATAAATACATAAAAATACAAAATATGTACGGAATTCTTGTATTTTTTTTGTATTTTTGGTATTTAGTGAATTTTTAAAAGGTTTTTTTTCACAAATTTTTTACTTTTTAGGTATATTTATGTTGGGTATATCTAAAAAGTAAAAAAAATTGCTTAAAATATAAAAAAATTCAATAAAAACAAAAAAAATATGGAAAACAAGAAAGTCGAATTTTCTGAAAAGAGTTTTTGGAAAACTCTAACCAAGCATACTGTCTTTCTAGAAAGAAAAAGTCTGGTTGAATCCTCACTTCTTCTTTTCATGTTTATGCCTCACGAGTAGCGCAGAACCGAAGGAACCTTTCCCAATCTGCTCTAGTATTTCGTAATTCTCCATTATACAATTCCCTGTTTGATGTCTTCCAAGAAATTCCAATCCTAGCAAGTATGCAATTATACAGAACAGAACAGAAAAGAAAGGGGAAAAAAAAAAGGAAAGAAGAAGAAGAAGAAGAAAAAGAAAAGTGAGACCACCACCAAAACTATAAGAAACTATCTAAATAAGCATCATTAGGATCAAGTGTCCTTAAAAAATACTAAAAACATTTAATTGTAACAGAAGAAACATTCATGTAGCACTCAAAACATGAAGTGATAACCACATCCTTCAAGGGTTGACTGGCAACCTTCCCAAAAGGAAAACATGAATATTAGGGCTGTTCAAATGCGTGAGAGACTTGACTTACCCGATTGACCCGACTCAAACTGAATATCTCTCGTCTCTCTCTACCTCCTACCCGCGAAATCCAACAAATGTAGATTCCAAATAACACACTCAGATCTACTCCCCCTCTTCACTACTCTCTCCATCTCAACCCCACTGATTCTCTCTCAATTTCATCTTACCTTTCTTTCAAATCTGTCGATGGCTTTGATCGATGGAGGGTAGTGGAGATGAGCGATGAACACTGGTGACAGCAATGGTAATGATGCATTGACTGATCAATGGTGGGAGTCTTTGAGTCTCATCTCTCTTTCACTGTATCAGATTTGCAATCTGTGAGTAAGTCATGTTTTTATGCATTTTCTCTCTCAGATCTACAATAGCTCTCACAATTTCTGTGACTCTCTTTGTGCAATTTTTTTATCATCAAAGCGTGATGTGGTTGTGTACAATTTCTTCTACTCTGAGGAAATATTTTGGGCAAAATAAAACTGATGCAACCGACCGGCAAAACCGAAACAAAGGGCGGTCTATTTTCATCATGTGTTCAGTTGATATCAGGTGACCACATACCCAACCTGACTTAATCAGTTCAGGTAGTAGGTTAATGGTCAACCCAATCCATGAACACCCCTACTGAAATTCATCAAGAATAGTGGAGTAGTTCAGATTGTTCAATGAGAACCCCAATATATGCCCACGAGTGAAAGAACTTGCTAAACCAATAAAATGCCTAGGGGCTTGACTAGTGGACCCAGACTTCATTAATTTCCATGCAGACATACATCTGAAGAGAGAAGGAACAGTTACATACATTTTTGCTATCTTAATTTTGTAAGTCCCATTAAGGTCTAAATGCCTATGTGAAGAACCAAGATGTTATCCCCCATGTCCGTTGCAGCAATATGAAGTTCCTGAAACCATATGCATATCTCATTTGGTTCAAACAATTCTCTCATTTCAACCGATATATACAAGTATCATCTAAATTTGAGCATTCCATCATACTGTCTTTTCTTTTCTACTTTTCCTATTTAACTGAAGAGCCCCGAGTTACAAAGCTCATGAAAATGCGGCCACATAAGCTAACAAGTAAAACTGTAATTGCTCAAATATGTTAATATGAGTGAGTATGGTGATCTATAAATAATAATGTTGTGCGGGATTTGTACTTTGATATGCAGGTCATGTCCTCATGTGTCATAAAGAATTGACACAGTTAAACACCAATATGTTGTTTTTATATTTTAATTAATACCTAAAATTTTAACCGAAGGTGTAACAATCACCATTGATGATCTTTAGGCCCCAACAGGATGATTTGACAAGTAGAGCATATCAACATTTAAAAAAAAAAATCATAGCATTTAAAAGTTCCAAATTACATTAAAACCACAACAAAAACTACAACAAAAGCTAACATAAAAAATTTTAAAAAAAAAGACAAGGAAAAAAATGTAAGGCTCTCATTCTTATATATGGGAGAAAAAAGGGAATAATTTAAAAATGGGCCGCAACCATTACATAACAGTTTCAGTGGTTACCGTTATCGTTACCTGTTACAACCTCTATTATGGTGGGACTAAACTCACAACCTTAACAACTGGCACCATTACGTAAAGGACGTCCAGTAGTTACAGTGCCGTTACAATACTATTACGGCTGTTATGCTTTGTTTTCAACAGATTTTGTATGCAAGACCTTCAAGTTCTAGAAGATTCGAGTTGCTATCAAGTTGGATGAGCTTATTTTTCTTTTCTTTTAAATCATTCATTATTTTTGTTTTTCAATCAACAAACTTTTATTACTTTCTTCACTTGATTCCTTAATTGTTAACTTATATCTATTTGGTTTTAGGTTAAAGTTGTTAAACAAAGCTTGTATATTATTATGCAATGTACTTTTACACTAGTATGCTGGCATTTTGTGTTATAAACTTATGATTTATACGAGACTATCATTTTTAATATTAAACAGCCTTCATGACTTTATTCATGTGAAGAGAGCAGCAGTTAACCACAAGTAAAATTAGTAACATCCACAATAAAAAATAAAAAATAGGAAAAAATCTCCACAGCGACTCGAGACTAATATAAAAATTAGTAAATATGTTAGGTCATGTTTAAAAACTAAACAAAATTCACTAAAAACCATTTTGAACACCACTAAATTTGATTATAAAATAAAGACATGTGTATCGGTAAATTTTTCCAAATTTATATGAAAAAATAAAAAATTCACAACACGGTTCCACCACAATTACGATACTGTTGTTACACCCCCCTACAACCGCATCAATGCCACCATTACCTAAAACATTGGAAGAAACACAACAACAACAAAAGAAGAAACAATAAAAGTACAAACACTTATTTGGTGCACCGCCAATCTATCCAATATCTAACAACATAAATCCAGTGGCCAGTACAAGTCTAAAAAAGCTTAGCCCGTTGAGAGAGTGAAAGAGACCAAGAATCTTCCATATTAAGCACACCAAAAAAAAAAAAAAAAAACAAGAGGATGGAATAAAGTCTCATAAAAAATTGCAAACGACCAACTTCATGTCCATCAAACCACCATGAAATTGATTTTTTTGTTAGGGGGACACCGACAACAAAAAAGTTGAACAAGTAACTGATAGAATCTGGAACCACATCAACCTATCTTCATTTCAAATTCAAAAAAAATTAAGAAATATTTTAAAATTCAAAATGAAAAAACAATTATAGACAGATTTTGAATTTTAATGGCATGTTGTAATTATGCATTGTAATGGAGAGGATCTATTGGGCTTTCATTGCTCTCAAGTTACTTATTTTTCTATATTTAACACCTACTATAAACAAAGGCATCTTAGGATTCAATTTAACAAATAAATCCCTCACTGCTTAGATTCAAAAACCTACAGAGAGAGAGAGAAAAAAAAAAAAAACAAAAAAACAAACAAACAAAAAAAAGAAGAGAAAGAGAGGAGAGTTAATAAATCTTTGGAACTTTAATTCCAACTTTTCTGAATTTTGAGAATTAGATGCATCCTATTGGTAATGAAAGAAATGAATGAAGGCTAAATCTGTTAATTTTTGGTTTCAATTACTTGAACGGCTGGAGAGGAAAAAACACTCCAATTTCTAAGTGGGGAAAAAAAAAGTTCAACAAAAGAGATGAATCTTTAGTTTCCAATTCCAAAACCTGAACCAAAAATAGAAAATCTAAAACAAGTAATATTTGATTTTTGTTAAAAGATGTGAAACTGAGAGACAGAATCTGTCAATTGGGTTAAACTATCTAGTTCAGTTGAGGTAGGTTAACTGAAAGATAACCTAAATACTATCTTGGGTTTATAATGACACATCCTGTTAATACAATATCAAGGAAAACACGATGAAAAATAACCCACAACTGCGCCTAACTAATTTGTCACAAATTCGACTATAGTGGGTGAATTTAAGAAATTAAATTCTGGGTCTTTGTCATTTGTAAACGAAATATAAAGACGTGTCCAAAGATTCAAACATTGTGTATATCACAAAACCCTAATTTTTTTGCAAGAATCATATAAATTAACCGAGAAGTAAGATCAATGTAAGGGGAAAAAAATAAATAATAATAAACAAAACAGAGCACAAGAAGAAGAAGTAAAGAACAGGAGTAGAAAAAACAAATTAAATTAGGGAAAACAAACAAAAATGAAAGTACCTGAAATAGGAAGATTGTAGATCTCCCGTACAGTGGAGATAGAGAGACGATATTCAGGGCATTTTTTGAAGATAAATATGTGAAAATGGAGAGGAAATGAACAAGGAAAGAAAGCAAAAGAAACAGTGAAGTGGGAATTTTTCAAAACTTCAAAATGTGGCCTAGCCTAGCCCCCACCACCAAGAGCTTGCTGATCACAGTAGAGAGAGAGAGAGAGAGGCAGAGAGAGAGACAGAGAGAGATTGATTTGCTTGGGATTCTTGAAAGGGCCCCCCCTCAAAAGCAAAAGTGCACGGGTGCAGAACAGGGGCTGGTCGGGGTTGGAGTGTGGGTGGTTGCATTGGAGGTTTTTTTGGGATGGAATTGGTCCGGTTTTAAAATGTGGGTAATGTTAGGGATTTAATTATTTATTTGATAAAAAATTTAGAGTTTGTAGTATTTTTTTAAAAAAATTAAAGTTGTAGGTGTTTGGGAAGTAACTTTTTGTGTACGTTTTTTTAGTTGTAGGATATTATTAGTGTACGGGGAGCAAATATTCCGGCAAGCCCGTACTCCTTTCTTCCGAACTCCGTCGATGTCCGATCACCTGCGAGCAAGAAACGGTGAGCTACCCGGCGGTGTGTGGCCGGAAAGACCCTCCGACGATCAAGTTAGCACACACCTTAGGATGGATAGAGAGAAGGGAGAGAGTGTTTGAGTGTAAGAATTCCTTACAGAGATGTTCGTGTGTCGCGTATGGGGGGCGCAGGCATGCCTATATACCTTCAAGAAGATGCTTGGCAACTAATAAAAGTTAATTTTTAAGAAAAAGATAAAAATGTACTTTCATCATATTTTTCATTTAAAACTTTAATTAAACTAATATAACACAATCAATCCTTTACAAGGTACCTCATTCTACTAATGGAAAATTTGTTACATATATTGTGTAAGTAAATTTTAAAATAATATTTTAAACATCTCTAATATATATTTTAATATAAAAATAAGTACACAAGCAAGCACCAACCGAGGGGGGTGAGATCTGACCCACTATTGGGCCAACATATCAATTTTCGATAGCCAATAATGTGGGGTGATTTGAAAAGTTAATTAAAAATTAATTAATTTATTTATTTTATTTTTTGTCTTTTTATAAAAATAAAAAATATAAGAGATGATAGACCAAAATAATTAAAAAATAAGATTTTTAACTAATTGTCAAAAGACTCCTGTGTTTTCTAAAAAAGGATATTAAAAGTCTTAAAAATTTTTATAAATTTATCAAAATATTTGTATGGGTGTAAATTATACCATATGAGTTCCATGAATTTCTGTGAGTGCATATGAATTCCACAACCACCTAAAATATTTGATAAAAAAATTTACTAAATTTTTAGAGTGTAAAACATTATCTTTTCTAAAAACATCTATTGCACCTAAATTTGTTGTCTAAGTCCAATCATATCATTGATTAGCAAGTAGTTGCTCGGTTTTAATCACAACTGTTCAAATTTTTTTTTAATTACAAAAAATAACAATATATTTGAGTTTGACTTTTATAATAAATAAATTTTGATTTATTAATTTATATCTTAAATTTTGTATTATTTTTTAATCTAAATCATTTGTTAAGCGAAACTGATAGAAAAAATTTTAATCATTAATTTAACGAAAAAGTAAAGTTGAAGATAAAAGAAAGTATTGCACTATTGAAATTTAGAGAATTATAGTAAAGTAACACTACAGTTTTAAACATAATATTATATTAGATCTCAATTTATAAAGTTAAATGAATTAAAACTTGGTGTAAAGACACAAAAAATAAATAAAGTGAAATATAATTTAGTGTAAAAAAATATGACAAACATCATTTTTTTATTCATATAATTAACGAACTACAGATGAAAATTGACTAATTGTTATGTGAATTAAAATAATTAAGAGCTAATATAATTCTACCAAACTTGTAAAATTTATTGTGTTTTTTTAAAATTAAGAAGAGATCAATATAATTTGCCCTAAAAGAAATGAGAAAATTAGGTTCTTTATTTTTCAAGTCACCAAATTTTAATCACCCTCTAAAAAAAGGTCCAAATTTTTAAATCAAATTGAATTTAGTCCAATTTTAAATCAAATTGAATTTGTTTGGTTTGACTATTATATAGTTTGTACAAACTTATTAAATTGAGTTTAGAAATTAATTAACTTAAAATTATTCATTATTTACTATTTTATCTATATTATTTTAATTAATGATGCATAATAATTATTTTATTTAAAAGTCTGCTTTTACTATGTGAATACAAAATTTAGTTTTGGTCTAACTGGACATGGTTTCACCATTAGGTTCATATATTCTATCATTTATAATCTAAATTATTATTATCTATGAATTAAGAATTATTTATAGTATTAAACAAAGGCGGAACTAGAATTTCAACCTATGAGGGGTCAAAGTTGGCTAAAGGTTTATGTTACAAAATTGTAGAATCAAAAACAACAAGTTTAATGGTATTTTTTTTTTTTTTTTATGCCGTATAAATAATATTATTATGAGAAGTAAAGCATTCCATCCATCACCTTTTCATATTAATAAAAAAATGAATAAAGTCGTAATTTATAATTAAATTTCAATCTAATTACATTAAACCAAAAAAAAAAAAATCTAATTACATAAATTTAACATTGAATTATGATATTAATTTTTCTAAAACTGTAAAATTAACTCCACTTCTGATTTACTTAGGAAAATAATTTATTCTTACAAAATACCTGTTCATACACTCTGAAGGGATAAAAAATTTAGAGTTACAGTATAAGTGAAATTAGTAATGACCGTGCAATGCACGTGTTATTTTTTCTATTAAAAAAATATTTGATGGTGCCAATGTGCGTTATAAAAAAAATAATTTTAATTTAAAATAAAGTATGATTTTAATTATTTATTTTGATAATATTGGTATCATCGTTTTATAAAATTATTATTTGAAATACTTAAATATATATTATATATATATTAATTTTAGTTAAAGTATTTGCGTATTTTGAGAATTTTAGTTCTATCATATTATAAAAGTGTAATTATCATATAATAATTTTTGAAATATAAAATAGTAAAATAAATACTCATTTTGATATATTGAAATTATCATATGATTATTTGAAATAATAAAATAGTAAAATAAATACTAATTTTGATATTAAAAATAATAGTTAAATTATAAGAAAGATTAGTAATACAAAATTAAAAGTAATTCTAACTATTTAATTTTCTTTATATTCATTTGGAAAATAAGAATATGTAGAAATGGAAATTATATAAAAAGGTAAATATAAATATGTTGTAATGGATTATCATATAATGATTTTTATATTTTTATATATATATATATATATTAAATTATAAGATGGTAAAATAAACACGATTAATTAAATTAAAATATCAACTATAAAAAAATTCAACAACGACTAATCAAGAAAGAATCACATAACAACATCTAATCTAAAAAAAAAAATAATGAAAATATCCAAACCATAGGTAACATCTCATGTGTGAAGTGATTAATCATCTTTAAATATGATGTTAAACATAAAAAATTTACTATTCAACAATTGAAAAGGTAATTCAAGTAGCAAATTCAAATTTTAGAGTTCTTCAAGAGTATCATTGTTATGCCATTTTTCTCCAGTGAGTTGTAATATATAAAATAGTGTAAGGAAATGAAATATAATTTCATATAGAATCACTATAAATTAAAAGACAAATCCATAATATAAAGGGGTGTTTTGATTAGATAATTAAAACTGACTTTTAAATTTTTTTTTTTTTTTGAAAAATGTGAAGAGATGATGTATAAAAAATGAGTTAAAAGTTGAGAAGTTATTTTAACTAATCCCAAAAGGGCCAGAATTAATATTTGATATAGAATAATGTACGAAAAAATAGGAAAAGAAAAGGATAATTTAGCTTTAAAAAAATCTTATTACCCTTGAAAGAATTAAAGAAAAAACATGAAACGCAAAATGGATATTGAATTTGTGAATTATCTCAATTTATCATGAAACATATATGAAAAAGAAATATTTATCAAATAAAATTCAATATAAAATAAATAAAGTTACTATAATTTAAATTAAATTTAAATTCGTGTAAAATTCTATATGCAATTAAAATATAATATATATTGATGTGATTCTTCTTAAAAAAAATAAGTTTTTATAATATGTCATCTAAAATAAAAAATATTTAACTTATAATATATATATATATATGTGTGATGCACTCTTATTCATCGGAGTCTAGATGTTCTATAAAATTTTGTGATAACAATATGTCATCTAAAATAAGAAAATATTTTACTTATAATATATATATAATACGTGATACACCCTAGATATTCTATAAAATTTTGTGATAACAATGGCGGTGTTTTGGAAGGAAATTTTTTGGTTTTTTTTTTTTTATTAAAAGACAAAATTGTTACCAAATTAAAAAAAATAAATCAAACAAAATATCACATCAAATGTCATAGTTATTTCATTTTTTTCTCACAAATATTACATCCAGTCACAAAAAAAATTTCTCTAATTGAGAGGGTGATTTATGAACCGGTGTTGGGCGAGGTATCGACCGAGCAAGTTGAGAGCCCAGCAGTGCATTGGGCCGAGATGATCGACTGTTCACCCAGAGATGGGCTACAGAACTTGGGCCGGGCAGAGTTTGGACTGAGTGTGTGCCGCCCCGGACCATACGGAAGCTGCCGGCCAGGAAGTGACCGGTCAGACCAGGATGCTCGGTCCGAGGATGGTCGAAACCAGACAAGACCGAGAGACCGGCGCCCGGAAAGGCGCGGTCAGCCGAGGTAGTTGATTGACCGGCGAAAGGCCAACCAAAGGAGGAGCCCGGGCTAGGCTTTGCCGAGATGCCGCCTACCCCCGGTCCTTCATGTGTTGTCCGGCTAGGCGCATGGGTTTGAAGCATGACAAAGGCCGAGGTAGAACAGCTCGGCTGCCGAGCTCCAGCTGTGAAGTCAAGCAGTTGAGGTTAGGTGGTGAATGGCATGGTTTATGCTGACAGATAGGAAGCAGAGCCACGTGTCAGGAGATGACTGGGAGTGGATATGGGGTTCA